CCATACTCAACACTGTTTGGGCTCTGGCTGTATACAGCCACAAAAAGTGAAGCTGTTCTTCTCTGTGTGGTTTGCTTATGATGGGCTTTCTGGTTTCACAGCAGAACTGGAGGAAATTAGATGTCCCAATTTGCTCAGAGGAAAAGTCACCGAAGGACAAGATGCACGTAACCACTTTAATAGATTTTGCTGTACCAGTGCTATAAGAAAGAGAAGCGTTTCTTATTGCTAAGATGCTAATGCCTTCCTCAAGTCATTTTATCAGTCAAGACAACAAATGTGGGAGTAAAGAAGCCTTTAATGTACTAATTGCACTTGAATCCTATACTAGACGGCAATAACACCCAACTTACTTGGTTCTTTTTGACATGGTTCCTTTGGTGCAGATGACACCAAATTGGGAGGGATAGCCAATACCCCAGAAGATAGGAGCAAAATTCAAAATTATCTTAACAGATTAGAGAGATGGGCCAAAACTAATGAAATGAAGTTCATTAGGGACAAATGCAAGATACTCCACTTAGGCAGAAAAAAATGAAATGCAAAGATACGGAATGGGGGATGCCTGGCTTCACAGCAGTACATGTGAAAGAGATCTTATAGTCCTTGTGGACAACAAGTTCAACATGAGCCAACAATGCCATGCAGCGGCAAAAAAGACCAATGGGATTTTGGCCTGCATCAATAGGAGTATAGTGTCTAGATCCAGGGAAGTCATGGTATCCCTCTATTCTGCCTTGGTCAGACCACACCTGGAATTCTGTGTCCAATTATGGGCACCACAATTGAAGGGAGATGTTGAGAAGCTGGAGTGTTTGCAGAGGAGGGTGACTAAAATGATCAAGGGTCTGGAGAACAAGCCCTATGAGTAGTGGCTTAAAGAGCTGGGCATGTTTAGCCTTCAGAAGAGAAGGCTGAGAGAAAACATGATGGCCATGTATGTGAGAGAAAGTAATAGGGAGGAGGAAATAAGCTCGTTTTCTGCTTCCCTGGAGACTAGGATGCAGAACAATGGCTTCAAACTACAGGAAAGGAGATTCCATCTGAACATTAGGAAGACATTCCTAACTGTGAGAGCTGTTCAGCAGAGGAACTCTCTGCCCCGGAGTGTGGTGGAGGCTTCTTCTTTGGAGGTTTTTAAACCTCCAAAGGTTGGATGGCCATCTGTTGGGGGTGCTTTGAATGCGATTTTCCTGCTTCTTGGCAGGGGTTGGACTGCATGGCCCATGAGGTCTCTTCCAACTCTATGATTCTATGAATAGGAATGGAGGGAAGATGTGATAATTTAGAAAATGACTTAAGATACTTACACATACACGGTTCTGTACAAAATGGAAACACCACACAAGTATACAATCCACTACTTTTCTCAAAAGTTTCAGGGCAGGAACAGCTCAAGCATACCTATAAGAAATATGACCTCTTAAACTACAATCTACCGGGGCCGTGTGTAAAGAAGCCCCTTTCCTCTACCAACTATCCTTTGGGCGAGACAATATACACCAAATGAAGAAGGGAGATGCATTACTTCTCACCCTGAGCTCCTTCCTCAGATACCTTTGTATTTCTCGGTGTTATAAAGCCTATTCACCTCACAGATATAAGTTGGAAATCCCAAACAACAAGGTAAGTGGGGGGATGGACTAGCAATGGAAAAGCAAGGAGCAGCATAAAACTTAAGCCAACACGGCTGTCAGAGTTTCATTACATACTGCTGAAATATAATGTGTAGTGTCCAGGCTCAACTGTCAAAAGATCTGTTATATTTTCACTTGTGCCCCTAGAGATTGCTGAGCACATCAGAACTGAGCGATTTGGCTTTTTCTTGTCTTGCCTCTCATTATGCTTTAAAAAATGTAGAATGGTTTCATGACTTCCCTGAGACACATAAATAACTCTGGGGATGGGGGAGCTGCTCTGAGAACACAGCAGTTTATGACCTTTTCACTGACACTTCATATAGATTGTTAGCAAAACTCTGAAAGGTATCATAGTAGAAAACAAAAAAAAATGTTATTTCTCCTCCATACTTTTAAAAGAGAAAATATTAGCTCTTTACTCAGAACAGTCACGCTTTTATAATTTCATGTATATATCTCCTTATCAATGATGGCGACATATTTTTTGAGTTGGGGATAGAATATCTCTTGCCTCTATACAACATGGGGAGTCCTTCCCCTTCATCCCACCCCATAGTGTGTAGTGGTACCACCTGCTGTGGTGAGCCCCCGGTGGTGCAATGGGTTAAACCCTTGTGCCAGCAGGACTGCTGAATGAAAGGTCGACAGTTCGAATCCAAGGAGCAGGGTGAGCTCCCATCTGTCAGCTCCAGCTTCTCATGTGGCGACATAAGAGAAGCCTCCCACAGGATGGTGAAACATCTGGGCATCCCCTGGGCAATGTCCTTGCAGACGGCCAATTCTCTCACACCAGAAGTGACTTGTAGCTTCTCAAGTCACTCCTGACACAGGGAAAAAAACCTGGTGTGGTAACTAATGGTGCCCCCACTGCCACCACCATGGGAGGGAAAGTTAAATATGGAGTGATTCCCTTGTTGATGGCAGGGGGTTGGATTAGATAGCCAATGTGGTCTCGTCCAACTCTATGATTCTATGAGAGAATCAACACCCTCCCTCTATCTTTCATCTGGACCAAGTAGGTGAAAGAAGGAAGGTGTCACACCGAAAGAGAACTGAAGCAGTTAAGGTTGCATGGGTGACTATGAGAGTCACTGAAAAGTTATATGCAGGTGAGAAATGAGAAGGAAAGCTTGCCTAGCTGGACATAGTACCATGTGTATTTTTTATTCTAAAAATAATAACTTTCTGCTGAACTACTGCACAAAAATTGTAGAGATGGTCCTTTTGGAGTCACCTGCTCTGACAGTGTCACCCAATATAGCGTGCACTCTCCACACTCCCCTAGTAAAGTCACTAGTGAAGAAACAATACTCCTTAAATTTTCTGATTTGAAGTATCAGAGGCATGCAGGGGGGTTATATTGTTATCTCCCGCCCCATCATTAACTAGAAATAAGTGACTGTGACTGAGGAGTGGGCAAATGACATTCCCTGATATCATTTGCCCATTTGATTGGTCCTCAGGGATAGCCCACCCCTCAAACCAAAATACATCTTGGTCCTTATCAACAAAGAGAGATAATAGAAACAACAATAACACAGAGGGTGTGTCCATAGTGCATAATTATAGCAGATTACTATCACCTTAACGTCCATGGATCCATATTATGGAATCTTGGGAATAATAACCTGAAGAAGGATTTCAAATTCTCTTCCAGAAAACATTAATTACTTCCACAAACTAGAATTCTATTTATCTATATTACAAAATTAAATGGATTTAATCCCCAGTCTCTCTGTTTTCAGGGTACTTTGGTGTATTCTAAATCACACCAAGGGCAAGATGGATGGATGGCATCCTTGAAGTGACTGGATTGGCCTTGAAGGAGCTGGGGGTGGTGACGCCCAAAAGAGAGCTCTGGTGTGGGCTGGTTCATGAGATCACAAAGAGTCGAAAACGACTGAATGAATGAACAACAACAACACAAATCACACATCAAAATACAAATCCCAGAATTCCATAGGATGAAGTCATGGCAATTAAAGTGGTATCAAACTGCTATAATTGTGCAGTGTGGATGCACCCTTAATTCCCTTTTAGTCAGTATGGTATGAAGGTTTGTATCTCCCTAAACCTAGATCATAAAAGCTTGTTATTTCAGTTCATACACAATTGCCTGGGATAGAGCTCCCAAAACAATAGATAATAACAGAGTTAGGTCTGGAAGGTGTGATCAGGCAACAAGAGGGCAAAGGTTATTAATGAGGTTTATGTACTGAGTTTAATAACATACACACAACCCCTTAAATTAGCCTACTGGGAAGTGAAGGTAGTTTCTAGCAATTGAAGTAAGGGGCAACAAGGGAAATGGAAATGGACATTAGAACACCAAGAAAATGGTTACCCATAGGTAAAGGTAAAGCATTCCTATGACATTAAGTCTAGTTGTGTCTAACTCTGGGGGGTTGGTGCTCATCTCCATTTCTAAGCCAAAGAGCCGAAGTTGTCCATTGACACTCCCAAGGTCATGTGGCCAGTAGGGCTGTCCAAACACGGAAAAATTTGTTTCTAAACTCGATTCGTTTTAGGGGGGTTTTGCGTTTCGTTATTTAAAAGAATTCCGAAATTTTCCTTAAAAAAGTTCGATATTTACGAAATTTCGGAAATCATAAAACAATTACGAAACAATTACGAATCGATTATGAATCGATTTGTTAATGGCAGCCGCGATCGCGCAATACGCTAAAAAAACTTCTGAAGCTTCCCTCTCCCTCTGTTGTTGACTGTTGGTGTGATAATTATTTTTTTTTCACTGAGAAAACAAGCAGCAACCCTAAAACTTGCACCAGACATGCAGAAATAATAACGAAACATTTACGAATCAATAACGAATCAATAACGAATCAATTACGAAACGAATTGGAAAAATTCGTTTCGTTTTTTAGTTGCTCCTGAATGGTTCAATATTGCTTCGTTATCAAAAAAAATAACGAATTTTTAACGAATTACGAAATTACGAAACGAAACCGCCCAGCCCTAGTGGCCAGCATGACTGCATGGAGTGCTGTTACCTTCCTGCAGAAGTGGTACCTAATTGAGCTACTCACATTTGCATGTTTTTGAACTGCTAGGTTGGCAGAAGCTGGGGCTAGCAGTGGGAGCTCACCCCCTCCCTGGATTTGAACTGCTGATCTTTTGGTCAGCAAGTTCAGCAGCTCAGCGGTTTAACTTGTTGCACCATCAGGGGCCTGCTGTGCCACCACGGTTACCCATAGTTAACTATTATTTCAGTGCAATGGTTACAAAAAGGAAATGGCGATTGGGCTATTGTTAATACAAGAGATGACCCTTTAACCAGAAACACTGTTGCCAACAGATCCTGAAAGTTTACATCAAAAAAAGAATGGAAGATGAGCCAACCTCTGCCAGAGCAGCCGAGAAGTGATTGCAGTTCTTGTGCATGAGATGGTAGGCATTGCCCTTGTACTCCTTGCCCAGTTCTTCCATGATTTTATCCACATCCTCCTCTGTGAAGTCTGTGGTGCCCAAGGCGATGGATTCTCTGGTGTTTAAAAAAAGGCAGTAATCAAGAATAGGAAAAATACAATATGCAGAATATGAAAGCTTGGCTGTGGCAATAACGGTGACAGATTAGAGAAAATGCATGCATATTCCCACCATCCCCAGAAAATTAGGTGTACTCCCCCACCATTTGTAGGGCTATGCATTGTAGTGGCATAGAGTAAACTGCTTAGTCTAGGTTGTGATTAATGCACATAGCTATGAGAGTGAAACAGCTCTATGGGGGACGATTTAAAGCACCATCTGTATGATAGCTGTGGACTTGCCAAAGGATTTCCTTTTCTAACTTTCTGCCATGCTTAAAACATTGTTTGTCCTCAAGTATTCTATTGATACTTTGCTTTCCCCAGGGTATAAGACCATTTGAATGGCTTGTTCAGTGATATTCAATCCAGCCAGAGGTTCTTGGGATTAGAAAGAGCCAGGACTTTCTCCCCTAAGGCTATGTCTTTAATTTCTTTCACACTACAAAATTATGGCACTGCCATACCTGATTCCTATGGAACTTTGGGATTTTTAGTTTGGCCAGGAACTCAGGCTCTTTGTGAGAGGTTTCTAAATACTTCATTAGTCTATAAATCCTGGAATTCACAAGCTGGAAACATGGCAATTAAAGCGCTATGTTTGTCTAGCATGAAAAAGACCATCAGCTTTCTCTGTTCTCTTTCTCATCCCATCACCTTTACAAAAATCTGCTTATACTATTGATGAAAACTGCTAGAACTGATTTGGGGAAGTTTTTCTTCCTAATATTGGACAAATAGGCTCCTGGAAAATATAGAGATTTGGGGGAGCAAGTGTTATGTCCTTTTTCTCAATCGGCTTCAGGCCTATGTTTTCAAACTCCACTGCCCTTTGTTAGCTTAAAAGGTAAAGGTAAATGTTTTCCCCTGACATTATGTCCAGTCGTGTCTGACTCTGGGGGTTGGTGCTCATCTTCATTTCTAAGCTGAAGAGCTGGCATTGTCTGTAGACACCTCCAAGGTCATGTGGCTGGCATGACTGCATGGAGTGCCATTACCTTCCCACCAGAGTTGTACCTATTGATCTACTCACATTTGCATGTTTTCGAACTGCTAGGTTGGCAGAAGCTGGGGCTGACAGTGGGAGCTCACGCTGCTCCTCGGATTCGAACCTGCGACCTTTCGGTCAACAAGTTCAGCAGCTCAGTGGGTTAACCCACTGCGCCACCAGAGTGTTAGCTTACTATTTCATAATTCCATGACTAAATATGTATAAATGTATAAATATGTGAATGGGTGTCATAGGGAGGAGGGAGTAAGCTTGTTTTCTGCTGCCCTGGAGACTAGGACACCGAACAATGGCTTCAAACTACAAGAAAGGAAATTCCACCTGAACATTAGGAAGAACTTGACAGTGAGGACTGTTCAGCAGTGGAACTCTCTGCCCTCGAGTGTGGTGGAGGCTTCTTCTTTGGATGCTTTGAAACAGAGGCTGGATGGCCATCTTTTGGGGGTGCTTTGAATGCAATTTTCCTGCTTCTTGGCAGGGGGTTGCACTGGATGGCCCTTGAGGCCTCTTCCAGCTCTATGATTCTATGACTGTCTGCTGATCTTAACACATTAGGTATACAATAATAATAATAATAATAATAATAATAACTTTATTTGTATCCCACTACCATCTCCCCAAGGGACTCGGTGCGGCTTACATGAGGCCAAGCCCACAGCACATCAATAAACGAAAGCGATAACAAATAATCAATACAAACAGTTGAAATAAAACTCAAAAACAAAAAATACACAATAAGCAATAAACAATAACATACAGCATTTAAAAACCTATGGCTGGGCCAAATGTAGTAATTAAAATTTAAAAGTGCTGGACATGAAACAAGGTATACTACGGTATGTATTATTGCTTTTTGGTTTGGGCCTGCAGGTATGTTTATTCACAGAGCAGGAGGTGAGTGAGAGAGGAACAATCAATACAGTTAACTGCATTTTTAAGCTCTGTTTGCCATGGGAATCACCTGAACTTTTAAAATGTACAATTGCATATCATTGGACATGCATAAAGAAACTCTTGACTGATTGTTGTTGTTGTATTTCTTGGTACATCAGCAAGAAAACAATCAAGCAATGATGAATGCTTAATGCAGAGGTTTTGTAGCATTACAACCCTGCAAAATAAGCCTGCAGTAAAAAGAGAAAGGGTTTCCTATATGTATGCTTAGGCTACATATAACCAATCTCAGGACTTCTTCAAATATTCCTGTTATTGTGGTGGGCTAAATTGGTCTGACTTTGCACATTGGTAGAGGACAAAATGAGGGTGCTCCTCCTCCCTGCACCATCCAGACAATTTAAGAAGTTTCTAATCGTGTTTGGGGGAAAAACAAATTGGGGCTCATGGTCATATTGCAAAGATCGAGAATAGGCTTCTGCAATGAAGTTCAAAGATAAGGAAGGACAACCCTTTCATTCCAGTTCATCTCTTATAATACATTGAAAAAATTACTTGGGATGGGAAGAAGAAACTGAGCCCCCTTTCACACAGCTGGATAAAATCCCACATTATCTGCCTTGAACTGGAATATATGGCAGTGTGGATAACCCAGTTCAAAGCAGATATTGTGGGATTTTCTGCTTTGATATTCTGGATTATATGCCTGTGTGGAAGGGCCCTGAAATTTGGACTAGTTTAACACAAACAGTGCAATAGCAATATTAAGAAAATGTGTAGTATTCTGTTTTTTAACTGGTACAGAGTTGCCAAGTCAGGACTATCCCAGACTCCAAAACTCAACATTTTTGGATGCCTACACATGATATCACAGAAGTGGACCTTGATGATATTACAAGGGTGATGTTACAAAGGGCAGCTACTGATGATATAATTAAGCTAAATACACTAAGCACTAAATATACTCAGTTTCACAGAGCATGCTGCAATCCTGAAATACTTCCTCTTTGCCTTGAGAATTGCAGAAATGGGGTAGGCCATAACACTCAGGGGCCTTACACACTGTCCCTATGGCCATCTGACGGGGGTGATTTGAATGAGATTTTCCTGCTTCTTGGGAGGGGTTGGGCTGGATGGCCCTGAATTCTCTTCCAACTCTATGATTTTATTATTCCAGAATCTGATTCCAGATTATTTGTTTATCCCAGATTATCTGGCAGTGGGGACTCATATATTCTAGTTTAAAGCAGATAATCTGTGATTAGGGCCTGGGATAAAGGACAGTATGGAAGGGCCCTCAGTCTTAACCAGTGGTTCCCAACCTATGGTCTGTGGCCCACCAGTGCTCCACAAGAACTAAAATATGGTCCACGGTCTCACCTTTACTACACCGTTGCAACAAAAGCAGAGGCTTATTAAATGTGGTTTCTGTGGGTGAGCAGATGGTGACTGCTGGAAGGCATATGTTCTGTATCAGAAACTAGAGCTGATGTGCTATATCCAATGCAGTATTTTGAATCTGCACCCCAAATAACCAAATTGAATCTAAAGTTGACCAAAAACTGATTCGTAACTCTTTTGGTACTAATGTTGGAGAAAGGTTCCTGGTCAAAAAAATGTTGGGAACCACTGGTCTAAACCAAAGATAAGGATACACTAAATCAGAAGCTTTAAAGTGCAATTTGCTTATCCTGTGTGTAATATGGTTGAAGATTTTAAGAAATCAGATGTGGGAGAAACTGAAAGTGACAGATTTGTACATCTAGGTCAGGAACCTGCTTGCTTACCTCTTTTGAAGTCTAAATTTGAAACTCTGTGTGTTCATCTATGCTGCTGCTAAAATATAGGTTGCTACCTCCTCCTTCTTGGGAAGAACTGTGCTGATTTGATTTTTTTTCCCCCCAATGCTAATTGGGGGCCATTATGTTTCTGTTTTATGTGTATGACTGTGTTATGATGTATTATTTTTATTTGATTGATTTTAACTGTGTCTATGTTTTTATCTGTAATTTTTGGGCTTGTCCCTCTGTAAGCCACCCGTGTCCCCTAGGGGAGATGGTGGTGGGGTATAAAAATAAAGTTATATTATTATTATTATTATTATTATTATTATTATTATTATTACTTTTTGACCAATTTAGCAAAATTTGCTAGTGTCTTCACACTTGAGACAGATATTACATGACATTAAAGAAAAAAGAATGTGGGTGAAACCAAAACTGGCAGATTACTAACCAGAACATTTCCACAAGAGTGCAGACAGAAGCAACTACACACTGCTGGAAGACGCAGGAATCTACTTTCCATCATTAAGACTTTGGAGAAAGGATTAAATAAGAGGAGTTCATTTTGAGATATCAAGTTAAAGCCAATGTTATTGTTTGTCTTCAACTCGTTTCCTAAGGCAAGAGTCATGAAGTTTTCTTGGAAAATTTGTTCAGAACAGGTTTGCCATTGCCTTCCTCTGAGGTTGAGAGAATGTGGCTTGTTTATGGCAACCCAATGGGTTTTGATGACTAAGCATGGACTTAAACACTGGTCTCCTAGAGTTCTAGACCCTACTTTGCTACAATGAAACAGATTTTAGATCCATCAAATCCTGTGTTAATCCCTGAGCCATTTGTAATCAAGACTGGGAGAGGGGGGTTAATGGCCTCTACATGTTGACAGACTACCCTTCCCATCATTCCTCATGATTATGCAATATTTTAACCTGCAGATTTTACAGACTTTGTAGCCATTGACTGCTTTCCTTGATTTCCAGAAAGCAACAGAAGGAGGAAAGGACACACACAAGAAAGGGGAAGATAGAGGTCAGGTGGAGTTAAAATGGATTGTCCTCTTGACAAGTGGTGGTTTATAAGAAAACAAATGTGGAGAGGTGCAGCAAGGGTCCTTACTTGAATTTAAAGGTCTCTCCAAGTTCCACGGCACTGCCTGGTGTGATTTCGAAAATCCCACTGAAAGGGTAGGGGTGCCCTCCATAGGCAAATTCTGGCAAAGTAGAAAAAAAGACTGTTAGTGAGGTAACAGAAAAACTGTATCTAGGGAAAGACCATTCAAGGATGGAATGCTAAGTCTAGTAGAAGGTGACCTTCACCCAAACAATAATATATAATGCCATTACATCAGCATTAAATGGTAAGTTTGCTTACTTGTTTTTGAACAGAGTATCAATTTGTAATCCCAAACATTATATCATAACCATAAACATTACAATGTCAATTTCCTTGCCATTGTCAGGGGCTAAGCACTTAAGTCAAGTGGTGAAATGATATACATACTGACTTTTTAACAGGCACTGAAACCTAGAAGAGTGGCATTTCTTGACTCCCTTTGTGATGGCCCATGGATCTGCTATGGGTTTTGTCTGAACTTTAACAGCACCATCCAAGATACTAAATCTATTTTGGCAGAAAAATGTTCAGCATCATGGATAGCTCATTTAATGTTCAAATGAAAACCTGGAAGTGGATGGAAAATGTGTTGCCTTCTAGCTGTCATTGCCTTTTGGACTGCAACATTCATCAGCCTTATCACTAGCCTTTCTAGAATTGATAGAGCTGTACTAAACAACATCTGAAAGTCTAGACATTGCACACACCCATGCCTTAAATTCAGTTCCCCTGACAACAGCTAACTACGACACCCTTAACCCCGTGTAAGAAAACCCTTTTTATCTCCTCTCTGATACTGACTCTGATATAACTCACCTTTTTTCTCTTTTTCTTTGGCACCAAAGAACACTCAAACAGAATTTATTTCTGACATCGCAACTGATGTATTTTCAAATGTATTTTTACCTAAATGTAGTTTTGATGTTCACCTTTGATATATCTTAATCTTTCTAATTTGTTTACAATAAATTATGCTTCTTTTCTATTCTATGTTGTACTTTTAAACTTCATTCATTTGTTGCGTATGCAAATAGCCTATAGCCCGAGCAATAGCAAACTGCTACAGTGGGTAGGTGTGAGCATGTAAGCTATTTCCCTTTGTTTGTTGGAGCCATTCCTACCATTGGACAGAATGAGAAGGGTGCTTCAGACAGCAAGTACTGGAAAGGGGGAGGGTGGTGTTGAAAGAGAAAACTGGGTTCCAGGTGGCATGGTCTATGCCTTCAGGTAGGGTGCTTCCTCCAGTTACACAGAAAAATTAGAGCAGTGTTTCTCAAACTCTATTACTCCAGGTGTTTTGGACTTCAGCTCCCAGAAATCCCAGCTGAAGTCCAAAACATCTGGAGGATGTTTGAGAAATACTGATCTAATGCTTTGTAAAAGAGGATATCTGATCCCATTTAAATGAACATGTTAAATGGGAACTGAATGCCAACTACTGGCTTCTGGTAGGTTTTGTATGCCAGGGCAACATTGGCACAGTGGAGCTACAGCATGCATTGTTGCTACAACTAGGAGGAATCTAATCAACCATCCAAGATGTTAATGTATTTTATTCACCCTTACCATTAAGCACTCTGTGTCAGTCTAGCTTATCCCAGCCTAAGAACAGAGTGAAAGGACCTGCTGGAGAAATAAAGCTGTCCCAAGATATTTTACCACCTGAGACAAGGTGTAAGACAGTGGTTCTCAACCTGTGAGTCTCCAGGTGTTTTGGCCTACAAGTCCCAGAAATCCCAGCCTGTTTACCAGCTGTTAGGATTTCTGGGAGTTGGAGGCCAAAACATCTGGGGACCCACAGGTTGAGAACCACCGGTGTAAGATGTCACGTGCTCCCATTTCCTCTGCACAAAAGGCCAGTTGGACTTTCTCTAAAGCTTTGTAAAAAAAAAAAAGTACCATTCTCTGTGAACCTGGGGGAAGCAGACTAGCTGGGTATCTGAGTGCCTGATCTTTCACCTCCAAACTTCTACATTCCAAGTGGCTCCAGGAATTTTATTTTCTCTTTGGAGTTTATGTTGCTTGATTGAGGTCTTTCTCTGTGCTTGATTCCACCAGAGTTTTGAAAGTGCCTTTTTCATTACTACAGCTCCCATACTGACTGGAGAAGTTTGGGAGCTGTGATCCTTATTTTTTTTTCCAGTTTCCTAAACTCCAAAAAGTTTATTTTAAATCTCTTTTTCCTAGCTTTCAATTCCCACTGCAATCAGTTCTCTTTCTTATGCAAAAGCTGAATGCTTTCCACAGCTGTCTTATTTCCCATCTCCTTGATCAGTTTTCAAAAACTGATCATTAAATTTCCTTTAAAAACATCCACTAAGTTTTCAGCTTTTTTTCATGTCAGAAGCAACTTGAGAAACTGCAAGTCACTCCTGGTGTGAGAAAATTGGCCGTCTGCAAGGATGTTTCCCAGGGGATGCCTGGATGTTTGATGTTTTACCATCCTTGTGGGAGGCTTATCTCATGTCTCCACATGGGGCACTGGAGCTGACAGAGGGAGCTCAACCCACTCTCCACTGAGTTGAACCACTGACCTGTCAATCAGCAGTCCTGTCGGCACAAGGTTTTAACCTATTGCATCTCCGGGAGCTCCAGTTTTCAGTTTAAATGTACAACAATCAAGCATCATGGCTCAACAATCATTCTAAATTGAAATATATCAGGCACTCAAAAGCTTTGCATTCTTTTTGTTGTTGTTTGCTTCAAGTCATTTCCAACTTATGGCAGGGAGCTTCTTGGCAAGATTTGTTCAAGGGAGTATTGCCTTTTGTTCCTCTGAGGCTGAATGTGACTTGCCCAAGATCACCCAGTGAGTTTCCATGGCTGAATGGGGATTTGAACCCTGGTCTCCAGAGTTGTAGCCCAACACTCAAACCACTACACCTCATTTCCGAGTATAGCTCTGATCTCATAAGTTGATGCTCTCTGAATAGCTTACAAGGGCATTCCACTACCTTAAGTGATTCTAAAAGTTATACATGTTGCACTACTATTAATAAGGGAAACATGCTAATTTCTAGGCCAGTTCTAGCAGAAAACGGAGGACAGGCAACTATGGTCTTCCAGCTATCTATCACCTACAATCCCACTCAGTTCTAAGCAACAGAACCAATGCTGATGGAAGTTATAGTCCACAAACAGAAGATGACAATTGCCTGTGTCTGCCTTAATATATTTGAGTAAAATTCCTTCAGAAAATGGCTGTTTCAGAAGTCTAAAGTCATTTAGAGAGGCACATATCTGAAGCCACCATAGATTGATGCAGTTGTAGGTTACACCTGCCTTCAAGATAGGTTGGAAATCATTTTTGTAGAAGCTTGAAGCTGAATTCAAAAAACTTAAAAAGAGAATCTCTCAACAACCTTCAACATCCCAAGGAGTTGGTTAGTGCATATTTCATTAAGTTAGTGGAAATGTTTTGATCATTTATTTCCTCTCAACAGATAACTTATTTTCTTCCAGAAAACTTCCACTGGGGACAAGGTTTTCTTTGACAAAATATGGAATAAGAACATATATTTGCAGTCCATGATGTGAGTTTCCAACTAGGGTGTTAATCTGTATGAGGGGAGCCAAGTCCTCAACATCCCTTCTCAGGTCCTGCAGGCTCAGGGTTATGAGTGAGTTTATCCATCTGGAGTGAGTTTATCCATCTGGAACCCTTCGTCTCTTCATACTGCATTCTACCTTGATGAGCATTATTATTTTATCTACTGAGTCATGACTTAACATAAGTATGTCATAAGTATGTCAGTCTTAGTTTAGCTATCTGAACTTCTAGGGAGGATTCAGATTTAATTTGCTCTACGATCCATTTAATTGTCTTTTTGGCTGCCCACAGTACCAGTAGAACGTTTTTCTAGTATCACATTTCAAAGCAGATGATTTTTTTCCTATCTTCACTGTCCATCTTTCACAATAAAAACTGAATCTAGCTGTGTGATTAGCCATACTCCAGTAGCTCATTGGGTTCAATCTGACCTGAGAGTCTCAGCTGGCACTATGGCTTATTTCATTTTAGATTGTTGGATTATTTTATTATAAAGGACATTCAAAGGGGGTTAATCATGCCTCATTTTGCACAGTAATAACAAGTATTATCTATGGTACCACTGCCACTGCCTCTGAGAGGTCTTCCACTGATGTCACTCACCACTGTTGCTGCTACTTAATAGCTGTTTGGCCCATTTAATCTGGTTCTTCACCAAAAGTCTATCTGACATAGGAGACCCTACCAGCAGCACTGCAGCCTTCAGCATACCCTCTTGTCTCACAGGAAAATGCAATCTATTGCTGTTAAAAAGTAGTACCAAGTACCTTACTTTTGTAAATCATAAACACTTTATATGCACTTTATATAACCCCAGTGCATATAAAGTGCCAGCAGGACTGAAGACCGACAGGTCCCAGGTTCGAATCTGGGGAGAGCGTGGATGAGCTCCCTCTATCAGCTCCAGCTTTCTATGCGAGGGCATGAGAGAAGCCTCCCACAAGGATGGTAAAACATCAAAAAACATCAAGGTGTCCCCTTGGCAACGTCCTTGCAGACGGCCAATTTTCTCACACCAGAAGTGACTTGCAGTTTCTCAAGTCACTCCTGACACGACAAAAAACAATTGAAAAAAAGTGATGACAGAGGATTCCTCAGAACTGTACCTGCTAAATAGTTTAAGGCTATGCAAAATGTCTCCCTGCCTCTTACTGGAATTATAGTGGTGAATTTCAGAAAACTAGATTGAGTCAAGTATAGAAGACATGAGTGCTTGGCAAGAATTCTGATATCCAAAAGTTCATGGGCTCAAGATTATTTCCAAGGGTGAATTACAATCTGGATGGAGTATCTCGGGGCTTTAGTGAGGGAAATGGAGTAGGTCTTCAAGGATAAGTCTGTCAACTCCAGTTGTAAGGCTCAGGTATCCAACTTCAGTCTACCAACAGATATTTCTCTATTTAAAATTCTGACTAGTATTGTAAATTTAGATACCAACTCCAACTCCACACTGCTACAGATCTCTTTATTTTAAAATATGACAGTTACTACCTCCGTAGCAGAAGAAAACTGCATAAATAGATCTGGTATGGGAAAGACAGATCTCTTTTAAGAGGAAGCTTTCTGATCATGATAGATGACAGCCTAGAGAACTTCCCTCCACCCCTTTCAGAATACTCAGCATAGTGAAAAATTCCCCATTTCCAGACATAGCTAACAGAAAACACCATACCTCTGCCATAGATCTCAATTCCAGAGTGGAAGACTCCAATACCCAATGTGGAGGTGTATTCATTTATCCAATACTAGAGAAAGGGGGAGGGAGACAGATTTGGAAATGTTAATGGAACAAACAGTGCTTGGAAATCTCTATATTTATCACTTTATATTGTTATTCCATCTTCCCTTGTCCTGAAGGCTCTGGTTATGTCACAATTGCAAACATTTAACACAGAAAACTTCATAAATTTTACATAAAGTAAACATAGGTCATAAAATATTCAGAAATAAGCTGCACAGAACTCAACAAAAATAAACGCATAACTCTAGACAGCTTAACCCTCAGCCTCTATATATTTAGAAGGAGGTGGGTAGAAAGTTTATAGATGTCCCAGGTGTTAGTGAACTACATTTTCTAGCAGCCCTAGCTAGAAAGTTGAAGAATAGTAGATGTAGTCCAGCAATATCTTGAGGGTCACACGGCTATAATCTCTGCCCTAGAAATATCACTCATCAATGTTCATGCATTCTGAAACATTTTTCATCATGGCAATTTTGATGTATGAGACTGTAGAAAGCTGGGATACATATCAAAGAAATCATAAAATATATTTTCAGTTTTGGTAGATTGATTATGGAAAAAACATGGGGAGTACTGGCTTCAGGATGCAAATTTACAGCAGATCTTGAATTTGTAGCCCAATATACCCAAAACTTGTGAAGCACACATCTATGAAGCCCATGGCCAATTGTTCAGACCACCATGCTTGGCCTGGCTGTGTAGCTTTTATAAATGTGGGACAACAGGAATCTCTCTCTGTGTTACCTTCCTCAATAACTTCATGATTCCAATTGTAAACTTTGCTTCAATAGCAAAAATTAGTATGTTGGAGTTGTATTTTGTACAGAATTGAAATACGTGGTTTCGGGTTACAAATAATTAGCTAATACTAATTATGGTAGTTTTTGCCTGCCTGCTGAAGAAAATGAATATTCTTCTGAAGTATAGTCCCATATTTGAACATCCTAGCTTGTTACAGAGGAAACAGGGTTTTTTCTGTACTGAAAAAAGAGGTTATTCTCACCTGGCATGTGTTTTTCCCCTGCAGGACAATTCTTGCACAGCACTTTGGAGCATTATCATGTTAGAAGAAAATTGCACAACATTCTTGTTGGGTTTTCTGACTCTCAATAAATAATTACAAATAATACTTCCATTCCTGGTATGCTTTTGAGTACTTCCATTTTCAGATGGCCAAAACCAGGTGCGGATTCCAGAGTGAATTCTCCCAGATAGTCCAGGAAGCCCAGACCAAGAAAAAATATCTGACACTTCCATTGAAACTCTACACACATCCCAACATCAGATTGCAATGGGTTCCTTCTCCAAATGTTGTGTAAGCTCTAATGTGTTGCTGTCAATGGCTATTTCATCAACATTAATGTTGCTGGTAGGAGGAAGAATCATCACTCTAGCAGGGGGATTAGGTTGGACATTTGCATTGCACATGTTGCTTTGGACCCCCAAATGAAATGGGTTGATTTTTGGGTGTCCCTTTGATCCCAGACAAAATGTGCCCAAACAATACTATTGTGTTTCTCTTGACTTGCTCAAAGCCTTCCAACCTCCTAAAAATGTCCCAACATTCTTAAATTTTTGCCAAAAATGGAGTAAAATGACAACTGGAAATCAAGCTGCCACTTTGGGTATTCTGAAATATATCAGTGCTGCCCAGCAGGCAGATGCCGAAGGGAGAAATGGCTCCTACACTGCTTGGGCAGCTGCGCAGTTCATCTCTAGCTATTATAATGTATGTAGAAATTTATCTCAGCATTAGCTGAGTCTTGAAATCCTGAAAATGCCCTCTGCATTGGCTGACAGGATTATGATGTCATTGCTTAGCTTGCCCAGCTGTTGTTGAGAAAGTCTGCATATTTGGAGCTGAGCTTTCACTGTGATAATGCGGGCAGCATGCCTCGAAGCTCAAGTTGAAATCTTTTAGATGACAGGACTTGAAGTGTAGCATCCTGCTCTCATAGGCTATTCACTTCTGGTGAGCTTCTAGAGTTACTTATTTAATGATTTTGTACCCTCCTCCTTCTTCAAAGCATGTCTCTCTAGGGCTTGCTTAGAAAAAGTGACAACAAAAGCAGTAGGATTTTGGTGTGTGTGTGTGTATCGGTCGATGACCAGCACCAAAAAAAGCAACATCAGAATAGGAAAATTTCTGTTTCTCCTTTGAGGAGTGATCAAAGAATTTTGTTATTAAGTAACCTGCATTTCATAAAAAAACAAAAGCCAACACACATCCAGGATAATGACAAACATAAGAGGAAGTAAGAACCTGAAAACAGCATAAGCAGCACCAATTTAAAAGGCCTGGTATAATACATTTATATTATTTTTGCTTTACAGCAATTGCTGGGGAAAGCACAGCTCTTGAGATGTCATTGGACTGCAAATCCTGGAGCCCAGACCAGTATAGCCAATCCTGAGTCACGCAGGGAGTTACAGGTCACTAACCACTCTGTGTCTGCTACTTCTGCAAACTAATGACCTCATCATATGGAGTTAAAATCAATGGCATATGCCAATTTAGCCCCAGTCACCCATGGAGCCATCCAGCTCCCATCAGATGATGTTGCACCAGCTCTGAGGGCGGAACCGACGTGTTGCGGCAACACGTGATGCTTCACATGTTGCCATTAAATCTGTGGGTGGAAGCCATGCACACCACATGCACTCAGTCTTTCCCCATGTGATTACCCTTTCATGAATCCCAGTGATGCAAGATGTGGCGCTTCAGATTTCCCACACCCTATGGCAAAGCAGTGTACTACTACCTCCTGCTGCTGACAGTCTGATGAGGTGAAAGCATGAAGATCGAAAGCAAAGTTTGAAGCCAGACCAATCTGCCTTCACCATGGCTGTGGAGGCTTACCACTTCATCAGACAGCTGGCAGCAGAAGGAGGGGGTGGCCCGCTTCGCTGCAAGGCATGGGGAATCGGGCACCCCACTCCTCGCATTGCTCACATCATGTGCCTTGCTTGGAGGGCAATCACATGGGGGAAGCATGTTGTGTGCGGCTTCCCCATAGATTGGGCAACACAGAAAGCCTTTGTTTCCACCCCTATGCACCCACGAAGCCAACATGACATAGTTTGATGGGATCCAGCCAGCTCCATGGGTAACGGGGGCTGAATCTAGCCCCGTATGATGAGGTCTTTAGTGAACTAGATAGGCAGTCAAAATCTCATTTGACTAACACAGAAACACCATCCTCATTGTAACTCAAACATCAGATATTAAAGCCTCAGCCTTCAGGGCCTCCATCTAGAAACACAGTGTCATTCACTGTGGAATGGTCTACTCACAAGTAATTGATTCAAGAGGAGCACATATTCCTCAGGTGGCCATTTCTACACCTGGTTGGCCAATTGACCATAAACCTTTAAGTATTTGGATTCACTGTTTCTCAATCTCTATTCCTCCTGCTGTGTTGGACTTCAGCTTCCAGTATCCTTGGTATCTGAGACTTCTAGGAGGAATTTGAATTCGGGAAGCACTGGTCTAGATCTAAATAGCTCCTGGATTTTACCCTCTCACTTTATGTGAGGGCCAGGCGCAACTTGTCTGGATACACAAACTGTATAAATACACTGCATATGAACCATACAAAGAAATAACAAATCTGAATGCTACTTGGTTATCTCGTAGTCCTTGAGAAAGTAAACTGTCTTCAAAAGACAGTCCAAATTAAGTCCAAATAGTTCAAAATGCTGTCCAGTTCAAAATAATATCCAAATTATAATGTGACAAGGATCCCTGGGTTGAGGTTCTGTTTGGATAACACTTCGCTTGTCATTGTTATAGATATCTGTGTTTCTTTGATATTGATGGATACAAAAACTACCATGTGACCCTCTACATCCTGTCTCCTCAAACTACTTCCAGCCTGGATATAAACTGCTCTTCTGTGGCATTTGGTTCATCCGCTGAAGAACATGTGTATTGAAACGTGAGGAGAGCATTCTAGAAGTAGCAAGCCACCACTAAGAAAGCATTTGCCTTCTGCAGGTGAAGTATCTGGAAGAGAGGACCAAAGATCACACCTGTAGTCCTCCATATGTTGCTGGATTACAATTGCCATGAGCCCAAGCTCACATAGTTAATGACAAGAGATGATATCCACCGTTGACCTAAACACATAGTTGAATCAGACGAGACTTCGTGAATCTGGTATTCTCCACATGTTGTTGGACTGCAGATCCCAGAATCATGAGCTATTATCTGTACTGGTTGAAGCTAATGGAAGTCCAAGCTCCAAAATATTGTATAACTCTGTATCAGAGAAGTTAAGTTGCACTGTAATTGTGTATAAGCCCCATTGACCTCTGCTGGAGTTATTTCTGAGTAAACATGCATAGGATTATACGGTCACGCTTGTTTACTGGACTGTACAGATAAAACTTTTGCTTTTGATGACTACAGCCTTTGTCTCAATTGCATAAAATCAGAACATTCTGACTAAAATGTCCTTGATCAATTTTCAAATAACACACTAACACAGAACTGTACATTGTTAGTTTAACTGTTTAGCTTCTATACCAAGTGAACTAAATGGTGTTCTTTATGTTTAGAATCTCAAGATGAAAATATTTGTTTAATGCAGTTCCAATTTCCAAAACCCAAATAAAGATAATATTTTTTAAAGGCGAATTAAAAAAATCTGGATTCTGTAACATACATACTCTTCATAGAGGCTGGTCATATATGCTAGTCATAAGACTTGGAGGGAAAGATTTGGGGAAGTCTTTTTAGAAAGTCACTAAATGGCACTGGACTGAGGCCCTTTATACATTGTAATATATCCCAGAATCGGATCCCAGATTATCTGTTTTGAACTGGATTACATGAGTCTCCACTGCCAGATACTCTAGGATAAGAAGATAATCTGGGATCAGATGCTGGACTATTGGGGCAGTGTGGAAGGGGCTTTAGTCACATCTGCATATTGTTTAAGAAAGATCAGAGACCTATTCGCAGTATGCAGTTATAATGCTGTTATTTCACTTTAACTGCCA